CATGAAATTATACAGCCACCCAACAGCCAAACTCCTTAAACAGAAAGGCGAAGGGGAAATGTGGAAAGCATCCAGAGAAAAATGAGGTGTTACATCCTGGGGAACAATGATACAAATGGCAGCTGACTGTTTATTAGAAGCAAGGAGGCTAGAGGACAATAGAATTACTTCTTCACATTAGCAGGAAAAAAATCTGTTAACCAGATTGAAGTGAAATATTCAGAAAAACTGGAAGAAAGTCAGGACATACTGGTATCTAGCAAAGCTACCTGTCAATATGAAGATGAAATAAAGATATTTCAGATAAATGAAAACTAAGAGAATTTGATCTGAGGATGAATGTACATTTTGTCCTGATATCGCCTGCAAATCCCTTTTCTAGAACAATCATTTAAGAAAACAAGATTTGGTATTTCATAGAAAAACACAGGTTGTAAATGAAGCAAATACGAGATAATTTAGGACATAGTTGATCTGCATATAAACTGAAAGAAAAATGCTGAATCAAATGCCAGATTGTCACAGTTTTGTTTTAAATTCAAATCATGTTCTCAAAAAGAGAGACAGTTAAGACTCCTGGGTTCCCATCTTGGGCTAAGCTGAAGATTGAAGTGAAATATTCAGAAAAACTGGAAGGAAGTCAAGAGATACTGATATCTAGCAAAGCTATCTGTCAATATGAAGATGAAATAAAGATATTTCAGATAAATGAAAACTAAGAGAATTTGCTACCAACAGATTTGCATTACAAGGAAGATCGTTCTTCATGCTGAAGTAAATGACACCAGATGAACACTCAGATTTTCAGGAAGAAAGGAAGACTGTAAGAAACGGTAAGTGTGGGTAAAAATATATGAAATGCTTTGGGAGGCCGAGGCGGATGGATCACGAGGTCAAGAGATCGAGACCATCTGGTCAACATGGTGAAACCCCGTCTCTACTAAAAATACAAAAAATTAGCTGGGCACAGTGGTGCGTGCCTGTCATCCCAGCTACTCGGGAGGCTGAGGCAGGAAAATTGCCTGAACCCAGGAGGCGGAGGTTGCAGTGAGCTGAGATCGCACCATTGCACTCCAGCCTGGGTAACAAGAGCAAAACTCCGTCTAAAAAAAAAAAAAAAAAAAAAAATATATATATATATATATATGAAATGAATACTTAAGATACACACATGTACATATATGTACACATATATGCTATATATACAGATTTCTTAATTTCTGCAAGGCATATGGTATTTAAAGCAAAAATTCTAACATTATATTGTGGTACTTATGCACAGATGGATATTTGTGGAAACAATAGTACAAAGGATGAATAGGCCAATAAATGTAATTATATTGCTGTGAGCTTCCAACGTTTTACCTGCAGCAGTATAATATAACCTCATTAGATGGTGATAAGTTAAAGGTGCACTTGTAATCCCTAGAGCAACCTCTAAAAAGTAATGCAAGAGGTATAGCTAAAATGCTCATGGAAACATTAAAATGCAATGCTAAAAATATTTTCTTCACCCAACACAGGTAGAGAAGGAAGAACAGGGGCACCAATGGACAATAGAAATAATAGACAAAATGGTACACCTATGCTTAACCTTATGAATGGAGTGGTGAGGCTTCTTACTGTTACACTTTTGAATTGCTTCATTATCCCCTAAATGTCTTCCCAGTCCTTTACCCACCTTTGTAACCAATTAATTGCATTAAACTCCCTGTGTTTTAAATAGTAGGGTTGTTTTGCTTTTTTCTATTTTGATCCTCACTGAAATATATTAAATGCTAAGGGATTGTTTAACTGAATAATGCTGCAATTAGAAAATGGTACAACACGCAGCAAGTAAAACTGATGTAGGAAAACATAAAATGATCTGAAAAAGCATCCTGGGAATAACACAGCTAACAAAACTGTACGCTCATTTGACAGTGACTTCTAGTACTTAGCTACATCTTAATATTAGTTAACTTTAGAGGTGAATATTATGGGAAATTTTTGCTCCCATTTTTGAATTTCTACGTATTTTTTTCCTGCTGAAAATGAATTATGTTTGCAGTTAGAAAAATGAAATAAAAAGAAGAAATTGGTAAGGATTGTGATTGAAGGCAATTGTAGCAGGGATAAAGGAGAAATGGTTAAGGTTATGAGACATTTCCAAAGTAGAATTGAGATGACTGTGATTAACTGATCACAAAGGCAGAGCACCATGGAATTAAGGGGAATCCCTAGCTTGGAAACAAGATGACACATTCTCAGAGAGGAGGAGGAACAGATGTCTGAAAAGCAATGTCAAGTTTTGGTTCATGCTGGCTCCAAACTCAGTACAGGCCTCCAAGAGGCAGCCAGACCCGAGGTTCTGACACTTTGAAGAGAAGTCAGAACCAGAGACACAGATTTCAGTTATTAACATCTAGAAATAGTAATTAAAGCCAAAGGAATTAATGTGCCAACACAGGGAAAAGATGTGGCTTCAGAACAAAACACCAAAATAGAACCCCTTTATTTCATGGTAAAACGCCAAGATTTGAGGAGTAGGTGGAGGAAGAGAATCCATCCCCAAGAGATTGAAGTGAAATATTCAGAAAAACTAGAGGAAAGTCAGGAGATACTGATATCCTAGAAATTAAGGGAAAAATGTTTCAAGAAGTAAGTATCAAATGCTATAAAGAGATTGTTTAAAAGATTGTATAAAAAGATTGTTTAGTGTGTACATCCTTGGATTTGGCAACCAGGGAATTACTGATTAGTAGAGAGCTATCTCAGCAGTGGTGTGAGCAGAAATTGACTTGTAATAGGGTCAAAAGGGTTTCTATTTCTTTGCATATATTTTTCTTTCTACTAGTGAGAAATAAAGATGGTCCTTATCCCGAGAGAGAGAGTTGCGGAAGTAGTTTTATGATTTGGTGCACTTACGTTTTATTTTTAAGAAGAGTTTTGAGCATGTTTATAGATGGGAGGGAAGAAGCAAATGAAATGGAAAGATTAAAGGTGTGTGTGTGTGTGTGTGTGTGTGTGTGTGTAAAGGTTATGGGGAGAGAAACTGAAATAGTCAAAAGTAGTCTGGTCAGATTTGGAGAAGTAGAGGGGTACCTTTTCTCTAGCAGAAGTGGAAAGATAGGTTGGGTGGGCATAAGGAAATCCTAGAAACTCCTTATCTGGTAGTCTGTATTACTGTGTGGAAAGTGGGGAATTATAGCTTCTACTAAGAATCATAGGTAGTGTGAGGTAGGATTTAGGAAGTGTATCTGAAGGACCATCAAATTTGAGGCTTATAAAGGGGAGATGATCCCAATTAGCCATATTTTGTGGTTTTTCTCAAATCTTCACCTAGATAGATGCTTCCAGCATTATCTTTTTTTTCATCATAAACTCTCAGGACCTTAGCAGGAAGATGTGTGCTCCTGTATGCACTTTAGTTGCCTCAGTTTTGCCTTCCTGGTGGGTGAGTAACAGAGTCACACATGGTGGGTAAGGTGTAGAGGTGGAGAGTAAGGGAGGTAAAAAGGAGAAGTGACAGCCTCTGAGGGGAATGGCCTTGTTTGAGCCATTGGTCATGCTAGCCTTGGAAAATCCACTCTTTTTACTTATCCACTTGTTATTTCTTCATCTACTCTGCAAATATTTGTTGAGAACCTCTGTTTCAGGCACTAGAAATAAAATTCTGAGCACAAGTGGCAAAGTCACTATTCTTGTAAAGTTTAAAATCTCATGGGGAAAGACAGACAAGCATCAAATAACCTCCAAGTCCGGACTAACAGCAACGTCAGCTACCTGCTGTGAAGGGGAAGGCCAGGTGCTCTGGGGGTGGCACATGGCCTCTTTTGTTTGTGGCTGGCACTACAAATCCAGACTGGGGTCTCTGCCCAGGACACAGCATCTTTTGGAGTTGCCCGGTTGTGTGTGAATGAAGGCAGGCCTCTCAGGACCTTAGGGGAGGCCGTGATGTCCCCCAGAGATTTTCAGGTGACAAGTCTTTCTTGTGTCAGGGCACCTCCCCAAATCTGCAGCGCATTGAGTCCTTCTGCTCAAACGCCTGCTGGGAAGGCCGGCCTGACCCCTGCATGGTTGATTTGCTTTTGAACTCTGGACAGCTGATTTATACTTTAATGCCTTGGCTGTTTCTGTGAAGGAGGAGTTTTAAATATATCCCCAGAAAGGCCTCGTGGGTACACCATGGTTTCCTCCACGAACACACGGTGGGGTGGGAAAGGGAGAGGTGGGAAATGTACGCAGACCGTGAGCAGAAAAGAGAGAATATTCCCGAGTTTGGTCTAAAGACCATGGTGACAACTTTCAAGAGGTCTCATACCGTATGTTGTGCCGCTTTTGAAATGGGACTGAGAAGACTGAAGAGCAATCCCACAAAATGTTACCCGTGTTTATCCCAAGGCTGGGATCACCAGGGGCTTTCAGTTTCGTTGTACTTAATTTCTTGCAAATACTCTATTTCCGTGTACTCCTGTGGTGAACACAAGATAAAGAGCAAACGTGATTTTTTTCCAAGTGGCATCTGTTTGGGGGCAGACACGCCCGAAGGAGGTACTTCTCTGTGGGTAGCTTCTTTGAGACGAGTTAGTGTGAACTGCAGCCTCGGAGCTCAGCTCTGGGTGCGGGATGTCAGCCTCCCTCGGTGAGAGCTGCGGGCGGCAGGGATGGAGGAGGCGCCTGTGTCAGGAGATCCGAGGAGCTTCAGGGAACACCCGAGGGGCAGGTCTTGAGGCACGGCCCCACACGCTCTGAAGCCTCCACGTCTGTCGGGTGGGGGGCGGACCTTCCAAAATGACGTTGGTTTTCAGTTAAACATTATCTGCACCGTCCACGCGACAGAGCTGTGCTGTCCAGTGTGTGGACGGGGCTCGACTGGGAGGGGCTCAGACACCAAGCATGCAGCTTCCGGAAAAAGCTCTGGCTCAAAATTACCAACGCCTTCTGGGTCAGGCTCCGGAAGTCAGTCAGGCTCCGGAAGTCAGTCAGGCTCCGGAAGTCAAGTTCCGGAAGTCAAGCTCCGGAAGTCAAGTTCCGGAAGTCAGTCAGGCCTCGAAAGTCAAGTTCCGGAAACTGGCCTTGCAATCATTAGGTGGAGATATTGTTTGTTCTGTGCTCAGATTTGTCATCCTCCTTAAATTCAAAGGAGATAGAAGCTGCAATACTTGTCAGAGTTTAGGGGTGATTGGAAAGGAATTTTAAGAATCCGTTATTATGTTTCAGACAGCAGCAGCCTCCCTCATGATGCGGAAGGCAACGTGGGAGGGAAACCCTCCGGGGCCTGATTCAGCTTGGCAAGCGTGAGAGGACACCCGATGAACTTCTCGGAGGTATCCAGAAAAGACCAGACCCAAACCCAGACAGAATCTTCTTTTCATGTTGGTGGATGGCGGTGGGGAGGAGTAGGCACATGCGTCCAGTCCTAGGCATTCCAGAGATTAAAAACACAGGAGCAGAGGAGGAAAACTGGAGAGGTTTTAAACATCAGAAAATGTCCGCATGGGCTATTACAGAGTCTTTGGTGGAGGTGGAGAGAGTCCCTGCGCAACCCCTTCCCTGCTGCCAGCCAGCCTCATCGTAAAGGGACTTGAGAGCAGCCAAGGGGAGGAGTATTTACAGGTCTGGCATTGGCCAAGAGGCGGAGGCGAGCAGGATGAGCAGGATGCAGCTTTCTTTCTGGGCCTTGCATTTCACAGTGAGGATTTTAACACTAATCCTGGTAAAGCCTGCATATCAGCGGAGAGTCAGAGTAAAACAATCTAAAATGTGGCCCTTCCCATTGAGTAACCTGTGACCTTATAGCAATTGAACTATTGGCTGCATTACTGTAAGTTAATAACCTATTTTACAGAATGGAGCCTACAGACTCTGTTTTAAATGGCTGTGCTTTTTTTTTTTTTTTTTAAACAACATTCCTGCAGAATTCCCTGGAGTGAGACTCAGGACAATATTAAATCCAATGAATCACGCAGCCTTCAGGAGGGCAGGGCAGCATACGGCAGAGCAGCACTGAATGATGGCTTGGCTTGGTGTCCCTGGTGGCAGCAGTGGCCACACAGGCACCATGTTCTCATTCAACAAAGACTCAGGTTAGTGAGGGAGACGCCTATGCCAAATCTTCCTTCTCTCTTTCTCAAGTTTTCAGATGTTGTGCAACTTTTTTTACAGCCCTCAGTTCTGCAAGAAGCCTCGTGAATGCTTCCATCAGTGCATCATGCAAGGCATCTGACAAGCAGTTGCCTCATGGTCTGTATGCAGTTCGTTGATTTGAAAATTACTCCCTGTGTGTACCTTGCTCTCAGGTCAGGCTCAACTCCGGGGAGTCTCATGGTCAGGCCAGGGTACACAGGCCTGGATGGGTTTACTTCGTGCTGTGCTTGCCTAGGCCTGATCAAAACTATGCTCCAGGCCCTAGGGATTCTGCTCTGCCCCTTACCACCTATTGGCTTGCTTGTGTGAAAGCCCTGAAGGCCATGCTCCCAAAAGTGGGCCTTGAAGACTGGGCTGGCCAAGGGTCCTGGTGCTGCAGATCCTTTCTAGAGGAGTCAGCTCCATCTACCTCCTTCGGAGTGGTAAGTTGCTCATAGGACTTACGATCGTGTTCATAGGATGTAGTTAGAATGTCTAGTATGTGTGCCCAAATGGATGAGGACCCTAGAGGGAGGAACCGAAGCTTTAAGGCCTTGATGCTCCCAGGATAGTTCAAAGATAGGCAAGGCCAGCGGCATTGTCAGGGATCTATTAGAATTGTACAATCTCTGACCTCACCCAGACCTGAGTCGGAATCTGCATTTTACTAGGAGATTTCTGAGAATTGTTGCCTTTTGAAACTCATCTAAAGTTGGGCAGAGTCAACATTCCTGCCCTAATTTGTGGTGTGTGGCTGCAGTGAGGGACATCCTTGCCTTGGTTTGCTGACTTGCTGTGGAGGGGATATGGCCTGCACAGCCCCTTTCTCAATTTCCTTTTCTCCAGACACTCACAGCTGTGACTCATTTGTGTGTCAGGTGTTTGAGTGATGACTCAATACTAGAAACCCCATCATGAAGTGTGTCCTTGTGGGCTGATGATGCCACATGCTGATGGGACCGATTCATCGGTGACGTGGGGCAGTTAATCCCACTCTCAGCCGTTTGTGGGAAGCTCCCAAGCTGGCTTCACAGAGCTTTGTGTTGACAGAGCCGCTCCTCTCCTCTCCACGTGCCTGTTGGGAAGTGCAGGGAGCGCAGATGCAGCCTGGGCGTGTCCTCTGGGTAGGACTAGATCCTTCATGGGAGGACTGAGGAATGTGAACCTGAGGCCCGGATTGTCGTTGGTGCCGCTGCTCCTGGGTGCTTTCATGGCATTGGAGGCCAGTGTACACAGGATTCATCTCCTAGTCTGGCAGTGAAGGAGCCTGCCGTGTTTTGATTTGATGTCCTTGCCACCTATGCACATGTGAAGAGAAGAACACTACAGTGACAAATGAACTGAAAAATGGCTCCCAAGAACTTAATTCAAAGAATGGGAACAGGTCCCTTTCCATAAGCTGATTTCCTTGTGAACACCATCCATTCATTTCAACCTCACTGGCTACACCTGTGATTCAGGCAATGGAATCTGATCATGACTGTAGGAGATGAAAGACAAAGATAAGACTGTTCCATCGGTGACAAGAGCTCTCTCTTGTGTGTGTGTGTGTGTGTGTGTGAGAGAGAGAGAGAGAGAGAGAGAATAACCTCTGTGACACACAGATGGAGGCTGTGGAACAAGAGTTACACCTCTGTCATCCCTCCACTTTGTTCCAGGGAGCCCAGCCATCTGCACTCAGGCCCTCAGGTGGATTTGCCCTTCGGTCACCGGGTTGCACTGTGAGTTCTGAATCCCTGACTCCCCGGCCGGACTCTTCAGTGCACAGCTGCCACAGGCAACCTGGACAAATCCAGCCAGGCGGGCAGCGCAGGGCTCACCTCGTCAAGGACTTTGCAGCCACCTTAACTTTGAGTCTCCTTGCTTCTGTCAGGAGGTGCCACAACCTTAGACGTAGCTCTTGTTGGTGTTAATTATTTCCTTTTCATTTCCAGCTGGCACAGAGCTTTAGCACCTTAAGTTGCTCAATTTGATCTCTGCACTCAGGAACAAGGTAATTAAGTCAGCCACAATATAAGAAAACTCATCTGCCTCGACTTGTTGCCCGTCTTCAGACAGTGCTCCATCCTAAATCATTTGATAATGTAAGAGGCTTGGTGCAGTTTTCTACTTGACTGAGGGTTAGTTCATTAGGTCACAATCAGTAATTGATTCTCAGTGTGTCTCTGCTGGTTTTATTACAGTAATGAGGACTGTCGTTTTTTTTCATCTTCTCTAATCTGTTACCCAAACCATCAGCTTCTCAGTTTGGTGTCAGGATGACTTTGACAGGTTGTTAGCAGCCATGTGATGTACGGAACATCACAGAAATGTCTCAAACTGTGTTGCTGTGTACCACACAGAGCCTCAGGTGGTCCCGAAATCAGTGAAAGCACTTGCAAGGGAAAAGTTACAGCAGCAATTGAAAATATGACTACAGGCTTGATGTCCTAATGAAGAAGTTCTTTGCACTGTCGGATCTGTTTTGACTCTCAGGGCAGACTTTTCAGGGCTGGGTGGCATCTGCAGCTCTCCTCTGGAATATCCCTGAGCAGAAAAAGGAAGAGTACAGCTCAAGAGCAAAGCAGGCATTTCATTGCAAGAAGTTGCATGTTCTTCATGATCTCTGTGGAGCTCCTTTAAAAGAGTGAGCAACAATCTGTCATCTCTATGCAATCTGATTTCCTCTTAATTTCTGTTTATCTTGAGAAGGGGAAATCCATAGTATGAAGGCCAGGAGAGAGAAACGTGGTGTCATTTATTGTTCTTCTGCTGTGTTCTGGATGACTTCAAATGTAGACAGCCACAAGAGACAAAGAGGGGAAAGGCATTTTCTTTTTTGTATGGATACAATAAAAATATTATAATAAAATTGACCTTTTGTTTTTATCTAATGAATACACTTTAAAATTTAAATCTTTTCCAAGACTTTGGAGTGTTTTGAGGCCGAGGATTATACTCACCAGAGCTAGTACTGTCTAATGGTAACAGGAATTTTTTTTTTTATTGGATTTTAGGTTTTGGGGTACATGAGCAGAGCATGCAAGACAGTTGCGTAGGTATACACATGGCAGTGTGCTTTGCTTTTCTTCTCCCCTTCACCCACATTTGGCATTTCTCCCCAGGCTATCCCTCCCCACCTCCCCCTCCCACTGGCCCTCCCCCTTTCCCCCCAATAGACCCCAGTGTTTAGTACTCCCCTTTCTGTGTCCATGTGTTCTCATTTTTCATCACCCACCTATGAGTGAGAATATGCGGTGTTTCATTTTCTGTTCTTGTGTCAGTTTGCTGAGGATGATGGGTAACAGGAATTTTAAGTTCAGAATAGCCAGGAATCCTGGAATGACTCTCTAAGAACAGGACACAAAAGGCCACAAAGACAGTAATGTAGCACTGGCTTCTCAAAGCCCTTACTAGCCTTGTATAAAGGATGATAGATATAAGTTGAGTATGTGTGAACTGTGAAATAAACTATATTTGTGAACCTTTTCACAAAGAAGCAGCACTGAAATAGTAGACCAGTCGTAATGTTCCACTAAAAACCAGAAGTCATGAGACCACTGGGCAAAGAACAAAGAGGCCAAGGGTTTGTTCTGACAGCCTCAGGAATGTTTTTTGTTACCTGGTGGACATGGCTAAACGTTTTGCTGTCTAACATACAAACGATGATCCCTGGAAGATGAGAGCCTGAGATGTGTCCAAAGTTAGATTCACATGGGTTAAGAAAAACATTTCTCCTACCCTGAGATTGCAGAAGAGGGACAGAGGCCTGGAGACAGCTCGGGGTGGCTTTGCCTCGGTGACATTGTGGGTAACATCGTTAGCCAGCTCCAGGATGCTGGCATAGCATCCAGAACTGCCAATTTAGCCTATGTTTGCAGCCTGAGATTATGAAAAGCTCTTATCAACACTAAAAGTAATATTTAGCAAGCCTCATCGATCCTTCTTTAAATAAAGCACGTATTTTAGGTGAGGCTAGCAATTTTGCCATAGGATTAATTTCATCCAACAAACTGCTGTGCAATGTCTGACAAAAGATCTTTTTATAAATTCAACATTGGAAAATAAGTCATAATCCCATTGGCTTCCTTCATTTCTCTCTACTCTATAGAAGGCATGCAGCAACACAAGGTCTCCTGCAGTCCAAGACAGGTAGAACAGATATTAATAAATCACCAGCAAATATATAGATGAAGGTGACAGAGGCTGTAGGAAATCAAATCATTACACTTGTTCTGCTGCTGCACACTGAGTGACTAGTTCTTGGTAAAGAACTCAGACACCAGAATATCTAAACTTCCCAATGTCCCCCAGGACTTCCTGAGCTTCCAGATTCAGCATGGTTCTGACCTCTGGCCTTCAACAGACGAGTCCCAATTCTCTAAGAGAGGGCAAGTACATGTGAAAGCAAACAAGGTTTAGAAGGATTCTCAATCTCTGTATTCTGAGTTTTTACAATAGTTGAGTGTGGGCGACTTTGTTAAAAATAAAGAAAGAAGGAAAGGAAGGAGGGAAGAAAATACTGGTGAATTTAAAGCAGACCCTTAAATAAAACAATCAATTGCTATATAAAACCCAAGTTGAGCAAGATTTCTATTTGCCAGTCCCTAATTAGGTTTTGAAAGAAAGGGAATCCCTGCACCATGTACTAAGAATATTTTGCTGCCTGCTGCTTTTTCTGGCAGAATCTTCCTGGTTTGTGTTAAGAGTGCTATTCTGACATTGGATACTGCTGAGAATTGGGCAACAATCAGTGTGCTGGCCATCATCTGAGGAGGTGCTAGGTTTGGAAGCCTTACTGGGCACTGGCACACAGGCTCCCATGTTGCTCTAACATCAAACGTTGACCAAATGTCTTGGCCTCCCTGTGCCTTGAGTCACAGTAAAGCTAGTCTCCTGGACAATGACGAGTGCTGCATGTGGATGTCAGAAGCCAGGCTCTGAGTGCCAAGTCTCAGGAAGACTATCCATAGTTTACAAA